CCACTCCCATCCGGTCACATGGGTGGCAAGCCACTCCCACAAAGGAAGCCACACCCACAGAGTAGGTTCGAACAATTTTTGAAACCCACCACTGCCAAAGTACTGACGTGTGATCTCAGGAATATTTTGACAGCCTCAGAGAATGGCTTGAACAATCTTACAACTGGAGAGTTTTCCTGGTCTCAAGTAAAAAGCAATAAAAGTTTGCATTTTGGCTTTGTATCCCTTTCATTTATGGGTATCAAATATAATGTTTAAAATAGTAATTTAGAGTCCTTTCCTTCCTTCTTTCCCCTACCTCATCATTACTCATCTACATTTTCAGGCATGATCTCTGCAGAGATATTATAAATTAGCTGGGACAGAGGGATTTCAATATTCATCACACACTTTAATTTGTGCTCCGCAACTGAATAGTTATTACCAGTATTCCTAGGGTTATGGCCTTTTCAACACTGCTTCATTTAGAAAACATGTATGGAATTATGAAAGGCAAGGAAATATATTTTATACTCAAATTACTGGTAATCATTATCTTTTAGTTGGCTTTTTTGCCTTAAGCAAAAGATCCTAAACTGGAATTAGAAATAAAAAAGTCTGAATAATATTTATGTATGCCAAAGAAAGAAAGAAGTTCAAAGAAGTCCAGAAATTTGGGGGGGGGAAAAACCCCACATATTAAAAACTCTCATTACATATTTTACAGCTTTACATACATCTGTTTGAATTACCTGCCCTTTGCACTAGTAAAACTGTGTGAATTAACCAGCTTCCCTAGGACTCTTCCTGCTTTAGTCAGCCTAGAAAAAGAAACCTGTAAAATCATTCTCACTGGGGAGGATGTTCTGGAGGGAAGAACAGAAAATGAGAGTTTTTTCACTGACATTTTAATATTTAATATTCATATTCAGCTGTTCCCAACCATAGCTTAAACCGAGACACTCAATGGGATCACCATTTAAAACTNCACTCCCACAAAGGAGGCCACACCCACAGAGTAGGTTCGAAAGATGTTTGAAACCCACCACTGGTGCTTTATAGCACTCTGGGCAGTTTGCAATGTCAGCACATTATATAAAAATCTTATTCCAGACATTCCACCCTTAGAAAATATTCTACTTATTTCCATAAACATGGCTATGTCATATTACTTATTATATTTCGCAACATACAGCTAATGAAATCAGTCTGAAGTTCCTACCTTTTATAAACACTTGTGAGACTCTTTGAATGCGAAATACAATAAGGATGTGAAAAAAAGTAATTGCAAATATTTGTTGTATTTGTTAAGTTTGATCAAGAGAGACAAATTAAATGCTTCATTTTTTTAACCTCCCATATTGCAGGCTCCCCAGGAATTCTTTGGAAAGTAGGAAGAAAAGAGGGGGAAAAAAAACATGACAACATTTATTTAATGAGTAAACTCAGCTAAACACTTCATTAGTTCTTGCTAATGCATCTAAAATCAAAGAACATGTTGAACAAGCTTATGTTCCGTTTATGGCCTAAGAGCATTTTATAGGGATCCTGTCAAAAATACGAAGTGGCAAAGATTAACAACACACTGAACTTGTTTGAATAAAAGTGAAGTTTGCTTCCCTCACCCCCTTAAATCATATTCTTTAAAACCAGTTAACATCATTTATTCAAAATTCCTGTTGAGAACACACACATACGATCCTAGAATAATGCAGAACATTTAGTTGCCTTTTTCCTTGGATAATATCATTTCATTTGAAAAAGTCTACAATAACAGATTCTTTTAAAAATCGGCTAGAAAGAAAATTACATTTTGGTATGGCACTTAAACCCATTGATTATTTATTAATAAAATTTAGCATAGAATCCAGGAAAATAATGGAAAATAATGGATCACTCTATATCTGCCCTGTCAGACCATATTTGGAATAACTTGTCCATGCCTGGAAACTATAGCTCAAAAAGGAGAGTGGCAATTGGGGGAAATTAAAGCAAGACATGAAATTTCAAAGAGGAAGAAGCGTAGAGAAACCCAGGTGTGCTCTTGATCATGATTTTGTAATTTGAGGCAGTAGGTCAAGCTGGCTGTGGCTTCTAATCAACAATTAAGGTCACAGAACAGAACTTGTTAACTTGCGGTTAGCACTTATTAGGTGCTAATCACAAAACTACAGGGGAAAAAAATAAAGCTGCCCAAGATGAGATAGCATGTTAGATACTGAAGAAGTTAAACAAGATTTGATTTTAAAGACTGTGTCTTTAAAATGAGAGGACAAAAAAGAAGACATGCCTTCCTTAAAGTAAAACGAGCAGAGGTGGCACAGTGGTTAGGGTGCAGTACTGCAGGCCACTTCTGCTGACTGTTATCTGCAGTTCAGCGGTTCTAATCTCACCGGCTCAAGGTTGACTCAGCCTTNAAAATTTTCAATAAAAAAAAAAGAATGCAGTATGTTATGATTTTTGATGGAGAAAGACCAACAAGAAACTTGGATTAATCTAGTTGCTCTAAAACAAAACTAAACAGGCAAAACTAGCATGCTGGTTGCTGCTTAATAAATCTTTATGGAGCCTTGAGAGAATGAATATCCATTTAAATATAATACTAAATCTGGTGATATTTGCATATTTGGAACTAAATACACAATGCAATAATGAGTAAAATAACTCAAGTAACTAATGAATCCAGGAGAGAGGAAGGAAGAGAATGGAAAAGGAGAGCGAGTATTGCCATCCATAATAAAGATCACTGACGCCAAGCAATTTAACTCTGCTGTCATCTGAGACTTTGAGGGCTTGAACACAAAAGTGTGTGAGAGAGAAAATGAGACAAACCAGTTTAAAGAGAACCTGGTTGCTAGGTCACAAAGTGCAAAGCTTCCTTTATTCATTAA